ATTACGTTTGTCAGCAGAGAATCTCTACTTACCCATTGACCACAATCATTATTTTTTTATTACAAATGTAATTTCAGCCCTATATCTTACAGTGAATTCATTTTAGATCAATTTGTTGTTGTTGTTATTATTAGTTTAAATATTCACATTCAGTAGTACCTGACACACAGCCACTGAAAGTTGACTTAAGGGATACTGAATGGGTAAACCAAAGCAAAATATGGTTCACAGTACTGGCAAACTGCCAAACATGAACAATAAATCTCTGCAAACACAGAAACAAATAGGGACATGGGAATGCAATTATAAGACAGGACATGAAAAAAAAATATTGTAGGAAAGCCACATTTTCTCATCTTCAGTTATCCAGCTCCTCAATATCTGATCTTTCGTGTTTTAGCAGTAATTATTTACACTTCATTTAAAGGAAATCAAAATCAGCTTTTAACTACACATAATTTTTTTGACAAATTTAATTAACTGCTGAAGAGCATAAAATTAATATGTAAGAAATTGAGAAAGTGGCAGTGGAGTTCATGAAACTTACTCTTTATGAGCTAATGAATGGAAACAAAGATTTCATAAAGAACACAAAATGTACCAAAGCTTAGAGTTTTTCAACAAATCTCACAGAGGACAGGCATGTGGAAAATTCACTTCAGCTGCAAATCTGAGAATAATTGTGACACGGGAATTCTGATCGATCTTGATTACATTCAGAATGTGGTGTAAGCATTTAACAATGTAATTAGCTTTTGTCTTAAATAAAGCAAATTGTCCTATGTGATAAGACAACCACCAGAAATGTCAATTTTTAGCAGAGCTTGTTCTACTGTTGGCACGTGACTATGCTACAGGTATTGAAATAGCAATTTTTTTAAAAAGCACAATCATTCTATATAAAAAATAAGACTTTAAATTTGTATCTGGAAAAGCCCAATGTTCTTAAATCTCCACAATTTAAACATATTACATACCTTTGTTTTTTACTGTCTAAAGTGACTGAAAGATAGGGCAACTTACTAATGGCAAAAGACGAAGAGTAAAATTTTGTATTATATATGGAAGGAAGCTGTATTTATGTACAGTTTTAAAATTCCTTAATTTCAACAATTTAAAGAAAGAAACTTGTGAATATAGGAAAAAAGGAGGAAGGGAAAAAGCTTGTGACAGAAAACACACTAAGGTATGGTAATACTAGTTTGACTATAATTCAAGTAGAATCATAGAATCATCAAGGCTGGAAAAGACTTTCCAGATCATCAAGCCCAACCACCTGCTCTACAACCCCTAACCACTAATCTATCTCCTGAAACACCATGTCTACCCATTTTTTCAACACCTCCAGGGACGGTTCCTCCACCACCTCCCTGGGCAGCCTGTTCCAATGCCTCACCACTCTTTCTATGAAGGAATTTTCCTAATATCTAATCTGAACCTCCCCTGGTGCAACTTGACCCCACTTCCTCTTGTGCTATTGCTAGTTGCTAGGGATAAGAGGCCAACACCCATCTCACTACAACCTCCTTTCAGGTAGCTGTAGAGAGCAATGAGGTCTCCCCTCAGTCTCCTCTTCTCCAGGCATGTACTTCCAAGCTTAAGACTTATCAACCATTTAAAAACAATGTAGATACACCTAAATGTACCCATATAGTTCTATTTAGAAAGAATATCTGCATGCTTCGAGAATCTACCACGTATTCTAAACCACAATCTTTAAAATATTTAATATTCACAGGTTTTACCTGTTCATTTATTGAATTTATGAGAGTTAAAATTCCAGGTTACATGGTAACCAGTTTAGAGACACTGTAATATTTATTTTATATTTACAGTAGACACTGTAAATAATTTTTTTCCAATACAGAAGATGATAAACTTCTTAAACTGAAAAGCACACAGCCCACTTTTGACACAGGAAAAAACAAATGCCAAGCAAATAAAATCACTAAGTATCCTGAATGATTTCATTAATAGCACATAAATTGAATTTATTTTCTTTCCATAAATTTGTGGCCATTTGAAATTATAAAGACAGAATGCCAGTTAGCTCCAGAATGATGATGTAACTCCATTTTATAAACTTAGACATGAGAAAATAAAATTATAAGAAATAATTCTCACATCTCAGACATGGCTTGGAAGCCTGCTCACACAGCATATCCTTTCATGGCAACATATTTGCAAAAACACCTTCTAAGCTCTTGTGCCAATGAACTGCATGGTTATTCTATTAAATCTGGATTTTAATGGTTGCAGAGACAAAAAAATGAACAAGTAGTAAATAAGGGAGTGGAACCATAAAAAGTTATATACTACACCCATCTTGTTCTATTACAAACTAAGAGGTTTTGCTTAACATTTCTATGAAATTTTACTAAGTGCCTCAGCTGTATGGAGAGGTTGTCATTATGAGGTCTGGCACTGGTCTCCTGATTAGAATTGATTTTCTTTCCCCTCCCTTATTGCTCAAGAGGGTTGTAGATTTATGACCTTTGCTTACTTGTGTGTGTGCATCTAAAACAGTATGTATTCAATAAATTCCTAGTTTAGCTTTCTGCCACCTATATTTCTCCTTTAAATGTCTTGAATTTTGTGCAGTTCTTGATTAAGACACATTAAAAATGTCACAATTAAGACACAGAAAAATGTCCTGCTTAACTTTAATGAGAAGTGAGGCATACATGAGAGATAAAAAACCAATTTAATCAAGTTTTAGTGTATTTCAGCTATAGACTTAAAGGTAACACCCTTCCTCACCCTTTTCTTGCATCTCGTATCACTAAGGTATCACAATACATAGACTGTAAGCTGCATATTTTTTGTCTGAAATAGCAATGCTATATGAATTAAAGAATTAAGTTTCAATAGGCTTATAGCTATATTTTCATTTTATCTAAATAAAAAGGAAAAAGGAGCAGTAGAGCTTGATTATGAGAAGCAGCTGCCAATACATTACTTTTTTATAAGTGAAACATCAACTTATGTCTTCTCTTTAATCTCCAATTGCTACATTCATCTAGCACAGAATAAGCAGATCACCACCAACTGGTAAAATAAGCTGTTGTTTTTGTTTTTTTTTTTCCTTCCTATGAATTCTTTTTTTTTTCTTTCTGCTTCCTTGTTTTGAAGATATTATTTGCAACTTAGAATTTTGGTGTTTTTCCCCACTAAGCACACAGCTTTTGACTATCATCTGTTTTCTTTCAGTAACAGAAATGGCACAGGCTATTCTAGTGTTTTCCTCATGATCACCTTCCTATAGCAAAACTTCATGCTTCTGACTGTAAGACTCAATAATTATAATTTCCTTTCTGTGGAGGTGACTTCAGTTTGTTCAGGATGTACCATCATCTCTGTTCACTGGTTTGAACAGTTCTGAGCAATTCCCATGCTTAGTTCTCTGCACTGTCCTTACATGATACAAAGTGCTAGCTCTTTAATTCTAAGGCCTCATTAGTGTCCCTTGATGAGTCTGGGTGCTCTGATCGCCCAGATATCACAGAGAAGCCAAAAAAAAGTAAGGTATCTTTTGCTGCAGCCTTCAAAGAATGGCAGTTTTAATTACTGCTGTATGATGAATACAATTCAATTATTTCCAAAATAACTACTTTGTAACTTCCCTGAAGACATCCAGAAGTGTAATTCTTAGGATGGCTTTCTAAATGATTTTAACTTCCAACAGGACAAATGCCTCCCCTGCCTCACTCGTATTAATCATACTGCTGAATCTGCTCTGCTGGTTCAGTTAAAGAACGCAGATTGTCTTTCAAAATTTATGAGACCAAAGTAAGATGGGAGA